GCCCTGCATAACCCTGCCATGATCAGACTTTAAGAAGGAAGGCATCCCAGCTACCATCCTGGATTGGCCTACACCCAGCAAATATAAATAAAAATAACTTCCCCCAATGTAATTTCCAAAACTGCATTTTAGTTAGAGACGTCTCTCTACCCTGAAGGGGAAGGAACTTTCATCCTTCTTTGTTACACATGATGCCAGGTCTAAAACACTGTCCCACCAGCCTTGCAGATACCCTATGGGCCAGCTAAGAACTCATAGTGTCCCCCTGGCTTCCCATCTTGCTGGCCTCATTTACAGAATTCTGGACAAGAAAAAGAAAACTATCCAAGAACATCATTGCTGAACCAAAGAGGAGGCTGCAGTGGAGCTACTGAGTAGGTGGGAGCTTTTTAGGGAGGTTTCACACTGTTAGGTACCTTCTTCAGCATTAATCTAAGCCTAAGTTTCCCACAACAACAGCCTTAGGCTTATCCCCTGAGGCCAGCAGTAGCACCTCAGCCCCAGTGAGTTAGGCTGGACTGGAAAAGTGATCAATGAGCAGCGCTCTCCTTTCCCAGATTTTAGCCAAATTCTCTCCATTCTCTTCTCATCCCTCTCTTCTTCCCCCATGTCTATCCCCTAACCCTTCAACGCTGGATAACCAATTAGGTCAACCCTAGGACATCCTCAGAAAAGGGAGGCCCCAGGTAGAGAGAAATGAAACCAGATCTAGAAAAAGCAATGAGAGAAACCAACTCCAAAGAGTGGACAGGTGTGGGAGTTGCCAGAAGCCCTCCTGATTTCATGCCAGTTGGGCAGGCCTTCTGCTATGCCCTCACGTAAGTTTGGGGGAAGTCCAGCCCAGTGAGGACATCACTGGGCTTGGGAAGAAGATTCTTGGTCTTCTGCAGCCGAGGAGCTAAGCCTGACCTTGCCAGTGAACAGTGCGATCATTTTAGCCATGCAGAGAATTCATCATCACAAAGGCAGACAGGCAGGCAGGCCGGCAAGCAAGCTGAGTGAACAGAAAATAAAATAAAAGGAGGCCAGGGAAAGAGAG